ATTATAATGTATTAATATTAATATTGTAATGTTAATGTAATGTTACTTTTATTGAAGAGCACTTCTGTACTCTCACAGTCAGAGACTTCATCCAATTTGAGCATAATTAAAAATGTTCAAGTCTATACTCTGTATAGTTCCCAGTCTCTGTGTTACTCGTGTTCGACACGAATTCGAAATCTTTCGAAAAATTCAGAACATTTGATAAAATAACAAGTACAGACAATCCGAGTAAAAATACGAGCTACAATCCGTATAAATAAACTAAAATTGGGACATCGATAAATAAAAATCACCGGCAATTGACGAATTTCAATCTTTATATGTAAAATTCGCTCGCACGTTCCAATTTTATTAAAAATACTGAAAAATGTGGAAGATTTCGAACGTTTTTAAAAAATAATCAGAAACTGTGTTTGTACCACCGTTTGACTGAATAATATTAAAAATTTGGATTTATTGCGTTCGACATAAAACATATTAAAAAAGAAGATGAGAAACGTAATATTAGCAGAGCCCAGCATCCATCTTCGTTCTGCAAACCTAACTATAATTCAATCCAAAATGCTAATGTTAATCGTCCCTGATGATAATTGCCATTTATCGATCTGTTCAATCGTGCGTGGTGTCATTCACAGAAATTATTATTAATGATGATGGACTCGTACGCAAATTCGATTCGGAATTAATCTCGACTATCTGGTGACCGTTATAATTAAAAGAATTTTGATCGCATTATACCGTTACTAAGTTAATTAAATAGCCGTAGTATTTAGAAAATGTTCGACCGACTAACCACGCGTGATGGCAGAAAATTAATTTAAAATTAATATCTCTCTATAATATACGAAAATTAGCAATTTTTAATATTCTATTAATTCAACGTTCTTCCTTTATAATTTAATTCTAAAATTAACGTAACAGTGGACAACTTGGTACGAAAGCCTCGTAATAAGAAAAGCAGAAAATCAATACCGAATAATAAATAATTTCTCTATTTTACTATGTGTGAAATAATAAAACAATATTGTTATAATTGTTGCATCTACTATAACAAAACAATATAATCATAATATAATATAATTAAAACAATATAACTATAATTGCATCTACTAAACATTACATTGTTACTCATATTACTCGCCCTTCCAAATATCCTAATAACGCAGAAAAACCCACTTGTCTAGTGGTTCGAAGCAAAAACCATAACTTCGACCAGCGTTCATCTGGAATGAAACTCGGCTGGAACCATAATTGAATGAGAATCGAAGAGCGTACGAACGAATTTCCACGCGTAATTAAATACCGATTAAACCTTTCCACGCTGGCCGAATTACACGCAAGAAGCTCGGGAACAAATATACGAACGGTGAGGAACAATGAGAGGCTCGCTCGAAAGGAGGAAACGAGGGTGCACGCGGTGTAATTAGTCCCCGCGTCGTGTCTCAATTTTCACGCTGGAAATTGACTCGTTACCAGCCGGAGAGCAGCTACGTTACTTTTCCAACTTCTATTATCTAACTTCCATTCTTACGTAGGTAGCCTTTGTAGCCTCGGCGAGCTGCATCGCGGCTTGATTACGTTGCTATTTAACGAGTTTAAAGAGCAACAAAGATGATAGCAAGCGTAATCGGCGCAGGATTACACGGCTGTTCCCTGAACGTACAGATTAACAAATAGGTTAACAATCCTGTTCCGACAGTCATTCCCGTTGCATTTGTTATTAAATTGTTATCTGATTCTTTCACAAGAATAAATAATATGCAATTGTGAACAATTATAGTAGTTGATATAGTATAATACAGTACAATATGATATGGTAGTAATTAATAATAATTGTTAACATTGTTCATGTTGACAATGGATAATAATAATTATTATTCATCTACGTGTTATTTTTTAAATATTTAAAGCACAGTGTTAATGAATGATATGGTGGTTGAAATTACCCATTTTGTTATTGCTCGTTTATTATTATTCAGATTCTCGTATATTTCTTATATTCTTATATATATATAATGTGTATTAGAGATATACTATAATATTATAATATTATAATAGTATAATAATATAATATTATAATATTATAACAGTATAATAGTATAATATTATAATAGTATAATAGTATAATATTATAATATTATAACAGTATAATAATATAATATTATAACTGTATAATAGTATAATATTATAATATTGTAATATTATAACAGTATTATAGTATAATATTATAATAGTATAATAGTATAATATTATAATATTATAACAGTATAATAACATAATAGTATAGTATTATAATATTATAATAGTATAATAGTATAATATTATAATATTATAATATTATATTATTAACAGTATAATAGTATAATATTATAATATTATATTATTAACAGTATAATAGTATAATAGTATAATATTATAATACTGTATATTATATATTATATTATATTGTGAGCTTCATTTACGTGTTATTTTTTTTAAATATTTAGAGTATGTAATAAAAAGGCATAATAATTTAAATTACCTGTATATTTTATTATTACTAGTTTATTTCATTTATTATTTATTATTTCCCCATATATTTTTCGTATATTTCCATTTTCATAGTATATATATCAGACATATTGTATAAAAGATACATGTATTATACTATATATATTAGACATATGTTACAATATATTATATATATATATATTTATTTATTTATGAAGTTTCGATAGTTAGATTATCTATCGAAAAGCAGATTCAGTACCACACGAAAAAAATTATTCCCTCACGATCGGTCCAAATGTGATAAGAATATATATTCTAAAAAAAAAAAAAAAATACGCTCCCCTCATCTCAATCAGCCCTTTAAACCAGATACAGCGTCGCGTTTGATGCAACGAAAATTCCCCGAACGAGCGGATTCGTCGTAACGGGGATTCGTCGGCCGATCGTATCGGACGTTGAATAATTTATGGTACGTCGATTCGTAACTTAAGACTGGTGTCGGGTCAGGCAGGCTACCGTCTCTCGAAATGTGTGTTCCGCAGAAGCGTGAAAATGTCACCCTTTTGTATGAATAAACGCGGAACGAGAAACGTAGTTACGTACAGAGAACGGGAATTTACGGGCGGGTGTAAATGTCACACGGTTGTCTCGTTCGCTCGCTGAAAACTCGTAAACTATCGTTGATAACCGATTAACGGATTTGGGTCATCGGTCGCGCGAACTATTCCCCTTCCCGACGGTGGATGCAAAGCAAACAAAGGATCGTAAAGGTTGAACGTCGAGAGAATCTCGAGAATCTCCTCTTTTCTTCTACTATAATTTTGAGATTGTTCAGATGATAAAGGTCGACTCCGCCCGGCGCGTGATATTAAATTTCGAGCGACGAGGTAATTGTGTCGCGATTTTGAAAAAGAGAATTAGATAAAAGAAAATACACGAGAATAATTTGGCATAAAAATTTAGAAGAATGTCGTTTATATGATACAGACGACGGTATTGAAATTTTATCAGGGATATACGAATTGCTAAGGAATTCGCGATTACGGGGCTTGCTATGGTTTTGTCAAAATTTTGGACAAACAAAGTATTCGTGTATTCAATGTTATAATAAATAATTTCACGTGTAATGTTTGTCTAAATATATTTCTAGCCGAGACGTTCGTGTCTTATTTATTAATTATAACAATTGAGTTAGTTTGAACCAAGTATAATCGTAAAAATGCAGATATTTATCTAATACGTATCTAAATGTATAAATTTAAGGTATGACACTTCTCACAACATTCAATAGATGAAATAATTGTCTATCTATGTTCTGTTTCTTAATTACCTTCGTGAAGTTGAAATGAAAATGAAATTGCACGAACGTCTGAAGAGAAAGAAATAAAATTGTACGAATGAATATTTATTCTTGGACCAATTAAATCAAGTAACACCAGAAAATATCGCAACATTTCTCCATAAAAATCATGGCGTCTAAATTGAAATTTTCTCACGATCGATCGAACCTTTCCCTCCTCCAGGTGAACGACGACGTGTCCACTTGTGATAATTCTACAAATACCCTAAGTCTTTCACCGAGGTACAAGTAAATTACCAGTCACACGCGACAGTCACACAAATTAAACGCGAAACGATCCAAAGCGCAGTGTCAATGCATTTAACGTCAAGTGACGAGCTGCATATACGCAGAGCCCTTGTTAGTTAGCCGGGACCGCAAATTCAGAATTAGGATTGTGCATCAAATATTTACCGACCACTTGTCCCATAGTTATCCAAGCGTGGGAATCCCGAAGACTCGGACTCTGTGTGCAATCTTCGTAGAATGGGTAGGCAAAGTTTTTCTTTCTCTCAATTAGCGAATTTCACGTGCTCGGTCAATGTCGATGACAGAGAAAAAGAAAGAGAAATACCCGATCGGACAGTTTTTTAATTTAAATATATAACTTGCGTGACATCGTGGCGTCTGGGTTCGAGTATTAATCCTTTGAACTCGTACTAGAACTGGCAATAAAAATTTACTGTAATAAAAAAGTAATCTGTGCAATTTCTGAAATCTCACTAAACAATAGTCGTTTGCAAGTTTTGTAAGTTTACATCATATATTTATTTAGTTATATAGTTATTATATATTTATTATATTAGTTATATAGTTGATATATTTGTTAACTATATTATTAATTATTAGCTATTATATTACTAATTATATTTATATTAGTTACACATTTATTAGTTATACAGTTATTATATTTATATATATTATATAATATTTATTATATTATATATTAGTTATACAGTTATACAGTTATTATATTTATTATATATCAATACAGTGTTATAACAAATAATTTATAACACAGTTTATGACAAATAATCGTCCACATACATATGCAATTGGACAATTCGTCCCCGAGTGCAAACACTAATTTTTTCCATCTCAAAGGTGGATTATGAAGATACACAAGATAGTGATGGTGAATTTAAATTTACCAATATCAATAATATAAATTAATAAATAGTTCTTCCGATAATGAATGCAAGCGATTTGTTATCTCCTAAGAGGAAAAGAAATCAAGTTTTAAAATATTTATCTGGCAATGAAACTGATGCTTTAATTTACCTAATTTACCTTAAAATAAATAAGCAGACACAACAATATTGAGAACAAATCGAATTCAAAGGGTTAATAAGTAGACTGCGGATTTTTACGCATTATTTGCGGGAAATTTAAAGGGGCAAAGATATTAAATAATATTAAATAACAATGTTAATAATATTATATGATATTAAACATTAATATTAAAGTTAATAATACTAAACAAAGTTATAAAGTATTGATAAATATTTAATTCCTACTTTAACGGCAAATTCTCCCTTTTACAAATGAAAATGACGAAAATTGTTGCGCGAAACGGCAAGTTTATATCCTTCCGGTTCGGTTTGCCCGTTTCCACGAAACGATACGCGTTTTATGTCGTTAATATTTCGAAAAGTGAATCGCGTTCAGAGCAGGTCGCCGCGGTGCTTCCTGACGTGCGATGCATCATAAATCTCCGACAATAAAGATAACATTTCTGACAGGAAGCGGAACTAGAATCATGCGATTCGGATCTGTGTACGAGTATACGCGCCCGCCGTTTATTCGCGTAATACGGTATATTCAGGAATTATTTACAATTTACACGTCGCATTTAACCGCGTTTAAAAAGGAAATTCACGTTGGACGTGCATTCATTTACCTACCTAAGCGTTAGTAATTTATTATCCTAGTTACTGTCAACTACCATTAAAAACCGGGGAAACAAATGATAAGCCATAAATCGTTATTACGGATTAACAAGCACTAATGAATGATTTTTTTTTCAACTGCAGTTGCCTAATTGCAGTAGCCTGACGGTTGCGAACGATAATTAATAACTAGTCTCAACCCTAAGTTGTTAGCATTCATCCACTGTCAGGGAATCACGTTCCGCTCAAACAAAGATTGATCGTCTCAAGGAATTTTGTAGTTTGTAATTTACTTCGATAGACGACAATATTAAGTATATTTTTCGTACAATTTCACCCCTTTCTGTCCAGCAATTCGTAAGCCAACTGCGGATTTTTACGCAAATTCATGCATTTGATACAATTAAAAATATAAAAATATAAAGAAATTAAAAACTAAAAGTTAAAACAATTAATTTAAAATTAAATATAAAATCAATATAATATTTTAATTTAAAATTGAAATACAAAAAAATTAAAAACTAAAAGTTAAAACAATTAATTTAAAATTAAATATAAAATTAATATAATATTTTAATTTAAAATTGAAATACAAAAAAATTAAAAACTAAAAGTTAAAACAATTAATTTAAAGTTAAATATAAAATTAAATATTTTAATTTAAAATTGAAATACAAAAAAATTAAAAACTAAAAGTTGAAACAATTAATTTAAAGTTAAATATAAAATTAAATATTTTAATTTAAAATTGAAATACAAAAAAATTAAAAACTAAAAGTTGGAACAATTAACTTAAAGTTAAATATAAACTTAAATATTTCAATTTAAAATTGAATTATAAAAAAATTAAAAATTAAAAACATAAAAATATAATTATTTTAAAAATAACGGAAGGTTAACGGTGGAAATTTGTTTTATGTACGAAACATCACTCTAAGCACCGTGCTTCCAATATTTTGCGAATCTTTTCCAAAAAAATGCGCAAAACTCCAAAATTTTCCAAAAATGCAAAGTATTAATAGTTCTTATACTTTAACTCGGACGATTTGAATGCGAGTAACTTGATTGATTTAAACGAGACTTTGAAACAACTGAACTTTGTATCGTAATTGAAACGATTGAATCCTTGATGTTATAAGAGCAAAGAGAAAACGAGAGGAAAAAAAAAAACGTACGATGTCTTGTCCGTGTTTGACGTTAACTGGTTCGAGGTTAGTGGCGAGGGAAAGAATTCTGTTCTTGAAAAAATCGTGCGACGAACGCAACGAGCGAACGAGGCGATTAATTTTTCCGCGGCGAGAAGATTGTTTTAAATGCAATTTGTACTCGCGGCAGTGAAATGGAACGATAAAATCAACCGTTCCGAATTGGTATTATATTGTTTCAAGTTGCCAATCTCTTTTATATCCTTTTCCAGTCGCGTTTGGTTAAAAGAGTTCCCAATTGACTTTAAAACTGATATAACGAAAGAACGTAAATTTAACTAACTGACGTGTCTTTTATGTCTTACAGTTAGTTAGCTTTATTGCACTGTCGACCTTTCTCTAATCTTCTCCGGTAATTTGTAAGTTCATAGTAACAGTTCATAGTTTCAAATATGAAAAGGCATAAATCGTTAATATTTCGTAGAATTAGATTTTATAAATTTCTAACGCGATTTTTAATTGTGAAATCTTTATGTTCGTTAAAGAGAATCAATATTTACAAATAATATATATTTATTAAATATAGAATCTCGAATTCGTTAAATGCAAGCTTCAAACGAAACTTGCAAGTGGTTAGAAAATGTCTTCAAACGAGTAATCACGACGAAAGATAGAGTGAGACTTTATATTAGCTTACGCGAAATATCCCAACGACAGAATCTGTTATGGGGCTAATCATTTTGAAGCTCCATACCGTTTGATTACCCTAACGCGATTCCCCCGAAAACGGTGAAATTAAACATCAATAATAGAATCGATCTCAACTGTTACAAAAATACCTTAAACATAACAGACACGGCAGTAAGACCATAAGTAATATATTATAAATAGCGTACAATAACATTCTTGACAGAGCGCTAAGACTTCTTGTAAGCATTAAAAATTATAGAAGCTGTTATTGCTATAGAAATATCATAATAAATCCATTGTAGACAAGAATTCCAACAACTTTTATAGAAAATAATTTACGCGATCGGAATACTACAAATTGTATCTATTTAAATATGTTTGTCTAATAAATTGTATTTATTTTAAATCGTATTTATTATAAATCGTATCTATTTAAATACCAGTGTTTGAATATGGCAGGTATCATGATATTGAGTTACAGTTTTTTCGTACAAATAATTTAAATATTTTTATAGATAGAAACCAATCTGACTTACTTCGATTTGAACTCGAATCGTGTAAGATTTTTAAAAGCCGAACAGACTTAATTATTAAATTTCTATATTTAAAATTTATCTTAATTCTAAAATGTTACGCTATTATAGGTAATTTATTCTATTAATTTTAAATTAAAGATCAAATTATTTTTCTTTAATTAAAGTTTCTTGAAATTAAAATTTATTACATTTAATAATTCTCCCAATTAAATATTAATTTAAATTTTATATTAAATGCAAAAAGTAAATTAATATAAAATTCTACAGGGTCTAATCGTCCCATAAAAACATTTTAACATTATTATTAAAATTTTAAATTCATTCAGTATACATTTCATTGATCCTTTTATTCCAGATTTCGTTTAAAAATCAATTGATTATGCTACCTTTGTACAGATAATACTTTGTACTAGGTATTATGAACCAATATAACCAACATGTCTAATGTAATCGTAACAGTGTTAATGAAATATCGAAACATTTTCAGACGCGTAATATATTCATCGAAATACGAAATGTTTATGATATTTTCGTGAGCACTATATCATGTTTATCAGAGGTTCTTCCTGGCGATCCTGCTGAAAAACAGATTGTTTTGTAATTGGATTGCCATGGTTCCTCTGTAAAAAGTAATCTTGCTTAAACTGCCCTGCCGGATACGGATGGTGATAAAAAAGCCGGGTGTCTGTAAAAATCTGCGAGCGAATTTACATTCTTTCCCTCGAAAGGTTAAAGAAATACGAGCTGAGTCGAGTGTGTTCCGATTACAAGAAATTTTGACGCGTTGCGAAAAATATTGAAGCACAGATTCAGTCACGAAGGTCTATGTGCACATGCGCAAATTTTTAGAAAATGTCAATTGAATGATAACAAGAAATCAAACGATTTATTTTACAATTACTGTGGGTTAGAGGCGGTTTAATTTCAACTAACTTTAAATTAATTAAGAACTATCCAAAATTCTCATCTTCTTGTTTTAAATATACGAAATTTGATAGATACGATTGATTGTATATCACGTAGAATAAATTTTTTTAGTTTTAATTTATTAATAAAGTTTAACGAACCTAATCATCTAATGTTAATCTCAATCATTTAACGACGTCGGGAACATTTTGTTCTCGCAACTCGCGTGAGGTATATACCATTCAATTCTAAATTAATATTAGGTTGCGAACTGTCAACTAATATTCTTCCGGTTACGAAATTCTGTACCATTAAAGTCAATCAACGTTAATCAACAAAGAACACAAATTATCCTGCTTATTTTCTGCTATCATAAAGCATGATATTCGGAAAACTGACAACCTTCGTTGTAAATCTCTGACCGTCGTAAATAAAACATACGCTAATTAGTGTAACTATATGATACGACGAAAATGGAAACGAATTGACCGAGATTGAACCTCGGTCAGGCTCGTTTCAATAATTCATCGGCAACTCGTATAAAGCAAGAGTTCCGACGAAAATAGGACATACTATCGGCGTGAAATCCTGCATCCCTGGCCGCTCGAAATTACAAGCCACTTAAAATCGGCCGATGGATCGCACAATGGAAAATGTAAATTATCGGTCTACTACCTTGGTATTCTGTCGTAGCTGTCCCAGCTGGTAAGACAGTTGTAGCTGCTGTATCTGCTCGAAGTCGTCATAGCTAATGCCTTTCTCGATCGCACATACTGAGTTTTTCTTATATTCACCGATTCACCCCCGAATCCAGGCAACGCAAAAACCCTTTTCTCGAATTCACCTATTCATCACTCTGAAGCAGTCACGATTATCCGTGATTTTTCACATATTCTTGCGAAAATCCTTTGCAAACTGTTCAATCTTTAACAATCATTTCTCTCTCGTTTTTTTCCTTTTTTTTCTTTTTTCTTTTTTTTGCTTTCTCTTTAAATTCACCAGGCGTCGGTGATTTTCCACGCTAGCAGAGGGATGGGAACGTTCTTTTCTCTTGTTTTGTGCCTTTGTTTCTTTTCTTCTTCTTCTCTCGCGGCGTGAATAAAACGGAGAAAAAGCGGTTCGCTTCGTGCGCCGCGCGCGCGACGATTTCGCAGGGGACGAGGTCGATAAACGACGCTTGTTTCGCGGGAAGGAAAAAAAAAAAAAAAAAAGAAAAAACACGGACACACTCGACGCGATGCACAGGTCTTTTTCTAGCGTTTATCTAGCGCGTTCCGCGTAGTTACGCTCGCGTAGTTACAATTCGGCGATCGGAGTCGTAAAAAATAAACGCGTCTTGCACGGTCGACGCGTGACACACGCACGCACGCAAGAACAACGGATCGATAAAACTATGTCACTACTAGTTGGACCGCGACGTTAGGATAGATCGTTTCTCTATCGAGTTGGACCACGTTTCGTCGTCTCTGCTTGTCTTTTTTTTTTTTCTTTTTTTTTCACCCTTCGCCCTCCTCTCGAAACAACGGTTAAAACGATAAACGTCGATTAAATTCTACACTTAATTACCAGCCACCTGGGACACGGCACACGCACGCGTAGACAATAACGCGTGCCACGCGCCTGCCTCTCTGTATGTGTGTGTCTGTGTGTCTGTGTGTGTGTGTATGTGTGTATGTATACGTGTGTGTATTAAAAATACTCTACGTTTTTGGACCCGCCAACCAGCGTGCTCGATAATATCGGTAATTAGGAAGAAAACGGTACGGCCGCCTGTTTGCTCCGCTGCGAGACACACACACACCGCCCTCGGGAATCTTCTTCTTCTTCTTCTTCTTCTTCTTCTTCTTCTTCTTCAGGAGTCTTCTTCTCGCAAAGGACGACTCGCCCTCTCCTCCAGCCAACCGTACACTTACTTTATTACGTTAAATTGGTTCAACGGGGGCGAACGAACCCGTCGTCACCCGTAATTCCACCGCTCTTTCTACTTTTTTTCTCTTTTTTTCTTTTCTTTTTTTTCTCTTTTTTTTTTTTTTTGTTTCGCTTCTCCTTCACGTCCTCTGACGTCTTTCTTCTCCACCCCTTTTTTTTCTCTCGTTCCTTCTCCTTTCTTCTCTCCTCGTTATTTCCTTCTCCGTCTCCGCTCGCTCCTCTAATGAAATCCTCCAGTCACGTTAGCACGCCTGAGGGAATGATCGCAATGGATTGTAACGGTGGAGCTTGAGAAGCAGCCACGGATGACACGTTCCCGGAGAGAAAGACGTCAGCATGCTCCCACGTTGCAAGGCCACGAATTACCGCGAGAGAGCCGAGAGAGGAGCGTCCCCGAGAAGGTTCACCCCGACGCTCGTCCCCCCCTCTCGTCGATCGTCAACAACGACGATTAAAAAACTTCTTCTTCTTCTCTCTCTCTCTCTCTCTCTCTCTCTCTCTCTCGATTTCTCTCTCTCTCTCTCTCTCTCTCACGCACACACACACACTCAGTCAATCGTTATGTTGATTCGCTCGATACGTTGTCCCGACGATTCCTCTCGTCGGAACCTCTCCGTCGATCTCCCCGCGACGACTGACTCGCCTCGTCGACGACGAGGCACCGCTGCTTCGTCCACTCGGGATCCAAGGACGTTTGGGGATCCTCCGGCTCGATTGGTCCCGGCACAAGCTCGTCGAACATAATCCGCGATACCGTTGACACCCGAGCGACACACGTTCGCCGAAACGACACTGTTTGCCTGGCGCACCACCGTTTCCCACGCGAACAGTAAAACTGTAAAAATTCTATCGGGGGGAACTCGACGTTTCACCGATGATCTTCCTCGTCGATCGAAGAACGAACACAGGGTGACAAGCAACTCTTCTGTTTGAGGCTGAAACTTTTCTCGACCGAGGAGACTGAAACTTTTTCTTTTTTTTTCTTTTCTTCTCTTTCTTTTCTCTTCTTTTCTTGTCTTCAATCGAAGATTGGGACGGGGACAGACAGGTGATCGACGATCCTGTCACGGCCGTCGGTGGTCACGGTGCGTCCTCTTCAGCTGGAGGCAACGGCATTTCCTCTTGAGGTACCGCATCTTTTGGAACGTTCGGCGTGTCGCGAGTCAGCGGGCAGCTTCAAGCGGAAACGCGGCGCTCTCGAGGTTTCATTAGCCCGCCGTTGAGGCATCGAGAGAGGTTGCCGCGCAGGCAGCTCTCCTCTCGCCAAGCTCCCGCAACCACAAGGCGCTTCGCGTGGCCTGGCCCAGCGCCGACTAGCGGGTTCAGCCTCAAGCTTCCGTTTCGTTCTGCCCGTTCGCCGACTTCCGCGCAAGCTCGCCGCCAACTCTCCCCTCCTAATTTTCCGACTCACTCACTCTCTCTCTCTCTCTATATATATATACATATCTCCACTTGCTTTTCGCGTGGAAGCCAGGCTCTCTCCTGTTCGCATAATGAGAGAAAAAGACATAGAGCGGAGAGAGAAGGTGACTGGAAAAATAGACGAAAAATAATAAATCGCCATCGGATCCAGCACGTCTGGCACGCTTTCCGCTTCGATGTGCTCTCGCCAACTTCTCCCCCACTGTCGCCGACAAATTCCATCGTCTCTCGCGTAGCAATCGCGTGATTGCCGCGCGATACGTAGACAAGAGGCCTGCGAGTTCCGCGTAATCGAGCCCCGGCTCTGATTACCACGATCTTCCATTGTCCTCCTCCTCATCCCTCGCGTTCGCCAATTTTTCCCTCGCAGTATTTGCGGATGAATTGCAGTGATTCGATTAAGCAGACGGGGACGTGAAGTTTTTCCAACTTGCCTCGAAGCGTTACAAGTCGCCGAGCAGCTGCGCGGATGAGATACGCGCTTTGAAACGTTTCGCGAACGGCGCGTTTCCGTCGCGGAGATTTCGACGATATTTGAATTGTTCTCTCTCGAGTAAAAAAGTATACGCAAAATGCAACGTGAATGCTAAGTTGTAAAATTAATGTCACAGTAAAGCGATGAAATTTACCTTTATTATTGTTATATACCATTATAGCTTTCTTTAAGTTCGTATATATGACGAATTATTATAATGTTAATAATATTATAGCGAAATGGTAAGAATTGTATTTTTTTTTAACTTGGTAAGATTAAACTGTGAAATTATAAAATTTTGTTACATATAACAAATTATAAAATTATTGTATAATAATATGTATATTATATTTAATATATATTTTAAAATTTAGTATGTAAATTGTAAAATTAAATAATTAAATTAAATTGTCGAATTTAGGTGAAAAATTTGTTTATATGATGAAGAAATATTATATTAATATATTATAATAAAATGGTAAGAATTGTATTTTTTTTTAACTTGGTAAGATTAAACTGTGAAATTGTAAAATTTTGTTACATACATATAACAAATTATAAAATTATTGTATAACAATATGTATATTATATTTAATATATATTTTAAAAATTAGTATGTAAATTGTAAAATTAAATAATTAAATGAAATTGTCGAACTTAGGTGAAAAATTTGTGTGTGTGATGAAGAAATATTATATTAATATATTATAATAAAATGGTAAGAATTGTATTTTTTTTTAATTTCGTAAGATTAAATTGTGAAATTGTAAAATTTTATTATACAAATATAATAAATTATAAAATTATTGTATAATAATATATATATTATATTTAATGTATATATTTTAAAAATTATTATTATGTAAATTGTAAAGTTAAATAATTGAATTAAATTGTCGAACTTGGATGAAAACTTTGTGTATATGAAGAAATATTATATTAATACATTATAATAAAATGATGAAGATTATACTTTCCTTTAATTTGTCTGATTTAGCTGGAAGACTCGTACATGTGATGAAATATTATAATAATAATAATATTATAGTAAAACAGTAAAAGTTATATACTTTTCAATTTCATAAAATTGTTGAACTCACGTGGAAGATTTGCGCAGACGATGACAAAATATTGTTTAAATCTACAGAATTTCACGATACAATATAAAATATAATACCGCGTATAATACATATTGTACAATATGCTTCGCAATAGATTAAGCACATAATAGCTCGAAATCAAAATATGAAAAGTGTAAGAGGGTTTCTCTCCGACTATCCCCATTAGGTCACCGAGTAACGTGAAACGCGAAACGTGAGAAGCAAATATTTGAAAGACCTCGATATCGGCCCTGGATTTCGTTATTGTCGAATTATCAAACTCCTCCCTCCACCTTGTTCTTTATTTTATCGACAACGAAACCGTATTCCTGTGTAATGTTACCATTTCCATATGGCTGTGCCTCGTTTCGCACACGATCCCTGTTCCTTTCTCGATTTTATATCTCCGTTTGCAACGAAACATGCACGACGATAGCGCGCAGCACGCGAAACACGCATAATATACTTCGAAACCCCCGATATTTGTTTTTTTTTCCCAACGAGTTCCACCGGCCAGAGAACGAATAATAATCCTAAAAATAATAATCCATAATATTTATGCACTTGCGTCATCGTTACCTTTCTTATTTCCTATACACTGTACCACTATATACTGAAATTATATCGCCACGATCCAGTAGTAATTTTAGATCGACGAATTTTGATGAAGAAGAACAAAAAAAAAGAACAATCTTCTCGTATTAATATCCATTTGAATTTATAAAATTCCCTCGAAATGTTCATCAACGTAGAAAATAACGAGATACGTATAATGAAAAATTTTTGTAACAAAAATCAAAATGAACGTTTGACGTCCATATATATATTTTTTTTTGTATTGATACGTACATATATATATATATTTTTTTTTAAACAAAGAACCTTCGTTAGAAACGCGCTGAATCGTCAACTACCGTGTTTAATTCATTAAAAAAAAAAAAAAAGAAAAGAACAATACCGAGGTAAAAGTGCGACCTCTCCCTCCCCGGATGTTAATTACATTACGTTCCTCCTACATAACTTTTAAATTTACGAGATCGCCGTGACGCGCATCGCATCGCATCGCATCGCATCGCGTCGCATCGCGTCGCGTCGCAGTCGGTTCAGGCTCCAATTTCAAGAATCGCCTCCTCGTGCACCGGCAGATCTTCATCTCTAATTCAAAGTGCACCACCGCTGGTGCACTGGACTCGTAATTAAATCAACCAAGGCTTTCCGCGCCGGGCTTGAAAATAAGAGTCGAAATGTCGAAGAACACCGAGAGCATCCATACCGTGCCGACATTTCACCGCAATTTCACAATTTCTATCTTTGTCACGGGACATTTTGCAGTCCCACGCGAATTTGAGATAGACCTCAAAGGAGCACGATTCTTTGCTCTTGTTGCGTAAATCGGTAAAGGAGAGATACACGGAGGATCGTCAATAGTTTGTCTACACGTGGCGAATGTGGTTGTTCTCTCGCTAATCATGATTTTGATCCGATAGGGGAGGACCTCGATATGGAGATACGTCATATCGAGATGGATTTCACAGCGGCAATATTGCGCAATTCGAAAGGAACGGTAGATAGGACTGATTCTCTTGTTAATCAAGTCGAAAGCAATGTGATTAGACTGCGGTGATAATACCACGTGTTACGTACACGTGTGATCTATTATCGGGGACTAAAAGCAGTCCTAATATCGGAACAGAGGTCGATGCAGAGGGGAGAAGAGGATTGTCCTCTAGAAATGGCGACAAATGTAAAAATAGAATAAAATAAAACTAGAATTATGTATTTATACTGAGTAAAAAGAAACGAATTATAAATTTTATATTTTGTACTTTATATCTTTGTATAACTAATTTTTATGATGTAATTTTTAACATAAACATAACATAATTAGTATAATTTTGTATAAATTGGAGATTTTTTTAATTTTACATTAGTGCATAAATATGTTATTAATAGAATAGTGTTTATACCGAGTAAAAAGAAACGAATTATAAATTTTATATTTTGTACTTTATATCTTTGTATAACTAATTTTTATGATGTAATTTTTAACATAAGTATAACATAATTAGTATAATTTTGTACGAACTGGAGATTTTTTAATTTTACATTAGTGCATAAATATGTTATTAATAGAATTATGTGTTTATACTGAGTAAAAAGAAACGAATTATAAATTTTATATTTTGTACTTTATATCTGTGTATAACTAATTTTTATGATGTAATTTTTAACATAAGTATAACATAATTAGTATAATTTTGTATGAACTGGAGATTTTTTAATTTTACATTAGTGCATAAATATGTTATTAATAGAATTATGTGTTTATACTGAGTAAAAAGAAACGAATTATAAATTTTATATTTTATACTTTATATCTTTGTATAACTAATTTTTATAATGTAATTTTTAACATAAATATAACATAATTAGTATAATTTTGTATAAATTGGAGATTTTTTAATTTCACATTAGTGCATAAATATGTTATTAATAAAAGTCTAGATATTATTATTGTTAGAACGAAAATGAAATATAAAAGCATGAAATAAACATAATTATATCGATACCTGATCGAACATGAAACTTATAATACCTCTATTAAAATTCACTGCTACTGTACTTTATTTCATTATCGCGAATGATTATTTTCTGATACTAATTCTAGGTAAAAGTAATGTACTACTTCTAGCAATAGTTAAAAATAGTATACTACTTCAAAAGTAGAGTATCTTTCAGGTACAAAATGATTTTACGTGACAATTTAATCCTACTTTCTCCATTACTTTCTTTGCCATTTAATTTTATAATTTTAATTAAATTATTAATAAATTATTAATAAATTATTCCTTTTTTATTTTTTTTCAAATTCCTGTGTCATCTTCTTTTACAGTAGTACAAATCTGAGACCTACAATATGTGTAATATGTATTTATGTGTAAAACAAGAACGTGCGATCTGCTGTATATACGATCGCTAATATTATGTTTCCAGTTAACTAATGAGAGAATCGCCCTCTATTTAATCAAAATTCCAAATTACGCATCGTCGCCACCGCGAACTACCAACAACGTCGCATCGTTTCTCTCTATATCTGATCTAATGCACACGCCGATCTGCAGTAAAACTATCTACTATTATTTATATTATTTCAAAATAATATAAACAATTATTTCAAAATAATATCTGTCTACGAAGATCGTCTTCTCGAGAAACGGCAACGAAGGAACAAAAAGCTACGATAAGCGAAAGAAAATCTGACACAAAGAACAAAAAAAAAGAAGAGAGAGAGAGAGAGAGAGAAGCGTAGCGAAGGGAAGCACGACCTCGTCTCGTCCATAATAATTTCATCGAAACGTCAGCTGTCCTGGGAAATAACTGCGAAGAAGGACGATGCAAAAACGTCGAACGAAAAAGAAATGGAAGATGGAAGATAAGCCTTGTTCGAGTGTCCCGTCTCGAGATAAGTGAAAGAAAGGGAAATAACAGAGGAATAATCAGCCTCGAGGCGACACGATTTCATCCTCATGTCCCGTGCCAGGGTTTGTTCGTGAAATTTGGAAACCAGAAATCGTGGGATTTCTCCGATTGG